GGGGAGCACAAGGGCAGGCGCTGACCTCCAACAAAAAGAAGAAGTAATTTTATCGGAATACAAGAGGTTTTTCTTTTCGAAATCCGAATAGAAAGGGTACAGATTGTATTCGAATACAATGTTTAGGACCTGCACCGTTTCAATTTCGAAAAAGGACTACCCGCACCGTTTCAATTTCGAAAAAGGACTGCGGCCTCCTCGGCCTCCTACTCGCAGCTACAGGTCCTACGCGTTCCTGGCCCTTGCAAGGCCCCAAAACCTCAAATGCCCACCCTCCGGACTACCACCGACGTTGAAATTGACTTTGAAAGTTGAATGTCTCACCCGTTGAGGTTTTGGGGAAAACGCATCCCTGACGGGCTGCGAACAAACACGACCAGATTCAACCGTTGAGGACACTCAACGCTGCTAGTGGGACTCGGCCCCGGGACCTTCTGACTCTGAAATACCCGGCTCTCTTGTGGCGTCCCCCCCCCTAAACTACACCTGAGGAGCATAACCCCTGACTGTCGGACTAAAAAAAAAAAAAAAAAAAAAAAGGAGCATAACCCCTGACTGTCGGATAGTCCAGTCCAGGGTTCGAACCCGCGAGATGTTCAGTAGCAATTACGTGTGTTCAGCATTCAGCCACGTGAGGTGGATTTTCTCTGCGTCCACTCCCCGCATGCACAAAAGACAAAAAGTATGGCGGTGTATCTTTCCATCTTCTAGGGGAAGATTCATTCTCACTCCGCACATTTGCCGAGTAGTGGAGCGAGGCCCATACCCAGGAAAACATACAAGAACAAAAACGGCTACCTGTGTTGCATACCTGACCAATCAAGTGTACACTCACACAACTGGAGCGCTATCTTGCATGTATTGACCGCATTTGGGACCCCCCCTGAACGTATCTGACCGCGATTACGTCCACAAATAAGTTAGAAAGTCCTATGTAGTCTGAGTACGCCTTCAGGGGCCAAGTCCCACTAGCAGCGTTGAGCTACCTCAACGCCTGAATCTGGACGTGTTTGTGGAGACGTGCAGTTCAGGAAACTCGACACCATTTCTGCACATCTCAGCAAACGCGTCCAGATTCAGGCGTTGAGGTAGCTCAACGCTGCTAGTGGGACTTGCCCCCAGGTTGCGAGGAGGCCAACACAAAACACACGAAGCCATTCACACATTACAAATATAATAAAAATATAATTAATTAATTACTATATCACACACACACACACACACACACACACACACACACACACACACATACAACCTCCTGATGAATCTGCTGATGAGTCGGTGAAGTTCGATGAAAGTTCGATGAAACCGTCTGGCAAGTCTTACAACACACACACAGACGAGCTCGCTCGACTACTCTCCAAATGTACAAAATGAGAATGAATCTTCCGCTAGAACATGGAAGTATACACCGCCATATTTCTTGCCTCTTGTGCATGTGGACAGTAGTAGAGCGGCGAGGCCCATAACTCTCTTTTTTGTTTTTTGTTTTTTTTTTTCCGTGGAGTGGTGTATATCAAACATGACAACACATAACTGCTCCCCTCTTCGATGTGTCCCTCTTCGATGTGTCCCTCTTCGGCGATGAATCTCGCTGCACCACTCACCGAAGTTGCAAAATGAGAATGAATCTCCCGCTAGAACATGAGGAGATACACCTCCATTTTATTTTATTTTTTTGTCTTTTGTGCATGTGGTGGATAGTGGAGCGATATGCCCTTCCTTGCCCCTCTTCGATGATATGTCCTTCCTCGCCACGTGTAAGCTGTTTACCAGCGGTGGCAGCTTGGTGGGGACCACCGCTTTTGTCGTGGTGATATCATCAATGATCGATCACCGACACCCGCCGGCGCTCCCACCCCAAGGAGGAGATTGTGAGATGATGAAGCCGCGGCGACCTCGTCCACAGTCTCAACGCTCTGAGGGCATACTCACACTAGGACTTTCTCCACTTCACCCTGCACGTCATCACGGTCAAGTGCATCCAGCCGGCGTCGGATCGGAAAAGCGGTCACATGCATCCAGGAAAGTCCTAGTTTGATTATGCCCTGCGTCACGCACGTTAGGCCACACCATAGTTAACAGTTAAAACTTAAAACCTTTTCCTTTTATTTTTCTTCTTTTAATCGCCGCCTTGGAAATTGGAATCTAATTTCAAACGGGCCCATTTAACAGTGACGCTAACTGTTTGACGCAAAAAAAAAGAAAAGAAGAAAAAAAAAAAACCCTGTTGTTAACGGTTATTACTGTGTTGCTTTAACGATTTACTACAGTAATAACCGACCGCGGATTCTCGATTTTTGCGTGTCGATCCTGATTTGCGCAGGGGGGCCCATTTTGCTAATTTGCTAATTACCCTTCTCTGTATCTGTTCCAATTTTAACGGACGTCCCGAAGGAAGGACTTCAAAAAAAACAGGTTCCGCTACAGGGGGGCCTGACCCCTGTTATTACTAGTAAAAGAGGCTTTTTCTCTTCGTTTTTCATAAATAATCTGGATAAATAAACTGTTATTTAAAGGGATAGATGTGCATCGACGGTTACTGATACATCTATGTGCATCAACGGCTGTTATTACAAGTATATGTGGTGCATCAACGGTTATTATTGTTAGATCGCCGTTAGATGTCTTGAGTAGTGCTACTCAGCCGCCTGGAAGGTTGATGGTTAGAATTAGAATTAGAATTATAGAAGATATGGCGCCTCGCTCCACTACTCACGACATGCACAAAATACGAAAAATATGGCGTGTATGTTTCCGTTTTCCAGGGAAAGGTTCATTCTTATTTTGTACAATTGGTAACGTAGTGCAACGAGGTCCATGATGTCTTAGCATCCGTTGATCGGAAGAGAAAGACAAACAGACAGGCGGGCACACACACACACACACACATAGAGAGAGAGAGAGAGAGAGAGAGAGAGAGAGAGAGAGAGAGAGAGAGAGAGAGAGGGAGTTGTTTCTTCTGAGGTTTCCGCCATAGCTGTGGAGGAGGGAGGAGGGAAGAAGGGAGCAGTGAGGCTATGGTGTTGACGAGTTGTCGTTTTCGAGGAGGAGGAGGAGGAGGAGGAGGTTCTCCATGACAGGATGAAGCGTTGTGGCGCGCTTTGGACGAGACTTAGCAACTGGATATTGGCCATAGCTGTGGCATTTCCCGCGTTTTTTTTGGAGCACTGGTTTCGTACAAGATGCGGCCACGTGGCGGGTGTTTGGAGGGGCGGTCATGGATCCTGGCGCGCTTCACAGACTCCTGTCGTGCTGGCATGCCTGGGCACCACAGATCAGCGATGGCGGGCGTTCTGCTCGTGGGGCTACGACCATCCGTTGGCGATGGCGAATGTCATCTTCTTCGTCAACGTCTGCATCATGTTTTGGATACTCGATATAATTCAACAAAACGGCTGGGTGAGTTTGCCTTTTTGGCACCTATATATCCATTGACTAGGGCGAATGCAATCTTCTTCTTCTTCTTCTTCTTCCATTGACTTTGTTTACGCGTCGCTCTTCTTCTTCTTCTTCTTCTTCTTCTTCCATTGACTTTGTTTACGCTTCGCTCTTCTTCTTCTTCTTCTTCTTCGATTGACTTTGTTTACGCTTCGCAAAAGACAACCATGTAACTTTTCTTCCCCTCCTCCCTCCCCCCCTCCTCCTCCCCCTTCCTCTTTTCCATCTTCTCACTGTCCTCCTCCTCCCCCTTCCCCTCTGCCTTCCTCTCCTTCTTCCTCTCCCTCTCCTTCTCCCCCCTTGCCATCCCCTCCTCCCCCTCCTCCTCCTCCTTCTCCTTCTTCTTCTTCTTCTTCT